CCCCCCCCCTCCTCCCTTCTCCCTCTCCCACACATGCCAATACACACAAATTGCATACACACAAACCGCAAAATGCCATCCATGGAGCAGGTGTGCTTCCTACCAGGCCCAGGGTAGCGTTCACACTCAGATAAAAGGGTAGAAAGAGGGGCAAACTTGTTCAAAATCCTCCACAATTTTTGTAGAAAGTTACTAGAAACCCAACTGACCACTCCAACAGCCTCTCACAAAGGAATGACCATCAGAGGGCCCAGGTGAGCAACACAGTCGTACAGCATCCATCTTTGGCCTGAAATAATTCTGCAAATACAATTGACAAGCATTCTCTTCTCTCCTGCCAAAGATTCTAAAAGCATTGGGCATCCCGATATCTGAAAATTAGAAGCAACAAGGTCTGAACTTTGAAGGTTTCCGAACTCCAAGAGAGGGGCAGACTTCAAAACCTTAGCTCTCCCTTACATTTGGAATATTTGAGCCTATGCAAAATCCACACTCCACACTTCCAACTACCACCTGGCCTAGCTCAGTTGGTACACCCACAAATTCTTGAAATGCAGACCTGAGTTCGAGTCCAAATGGAACAGAATTCAATATATGAAAGAAATTCCTGAATTACCTGGAACCGGTCAGTTTCACGATGACATCTCAAGGTCCTCACCCCATTAAAAAAAGAAAAGAGTATCGTCATCTAAAGGCAACAACGGTTGTCATCTTAATTGCAAAAGGGACAGGGGGCCAAAAGGGACTACTGTCAAAGGGTTGCCCACACCCATACCAGCTCAATGTGGGTATGGTCCCGGTTACCTGGATTCTGTCTGTGGCCGTTGGTCCCGTAATCTATGGTCCAGAATGAATAATCCAGGCAAGGACGACCTTGGCTTGCGGGGGTTTGACGACCCCAGAGGAAACAATAGCTCTCCAGCTGTGCCAACATTTTTAACAAGAGATGTTTCTCTCCCACCCTCCTCCCCCCCAACTCCTCTCTGTCATATGTCTGTGCTGTTCATCGTGCTATTAACAGGGGTGAGGTTGACTATATAAAGAAAGAACATAATACAAAATAATGTCCTCAATTTTCTTCTAGCGGAGGAGCTGGACCTTCTCTCCAATTTCTTTTGCTGAAGAGTCGGATCATGTAGAATTCCTGTGTTTGACCACCTCCAAATCACCCTGAGGGCATTACCGCAGAGACAAAAGCCAATGCCAATGCCAGTGCCAATGCTTGTCCCTCCTTTTTACAAAAACAAAAACTCCTACCTGATTTCTGGCTTTCAATTCAGCTTTCACAAGACTATAGAGATCCCAGCACACCTCCACACGTACCCAGTCTTCCATGCTTCCAAGTTGCTGCCGTGTGTCACAAGTGAACAGTTCCCCTCGAGAAGATCCATGATCCCTCCGGATATGGATGGAAGATACGACATTGACGGCATTGTAGACGAAGATGTGTTTAGAACAGGAGGTAGAGGTCGTCCCCAGAAACAGTATAAGGTTCGGTT